CGGTTGTGATTGGTTGTCTCCATACGAGAGGTGAAAACCAGCCCTTGAGAGAAGACTTCGAAAGATGTCTTCTTCATCCCCACTTATGCCCTCACTATCTTCAGAATCAATGAGTTCATCCGGATCAGTAGTTAAAGCATCTTGATCATCCTCAGAGACCAAAACCTAACAAAGACAGAGGACATACTAAAGTTTATAACACAATTTCAGACCTTAAAAACAAGAACAATTATAATCCAGCAATAAAAGTGAGGATCTCTATGGATGGGCACAGGGTCAAAATTCAAAAATCTAGAGGAAGCATTCCCTACAACCCAATTTGGCAGCAATATGATTCAGCAGGAACAATATCACTACTCGAAACTTGTCAACAGTTCAGCCAGCTCTGATGGGCTACAAGCAAACCATAGACAGAGCCAATGCTAAGGGTAGAGTAGAGCCCACTCTAAACCTCGGATAGGGTCATCTCATCAGTAGAATGTGACATCAACAATCAGATCTTTACACAATTCAACAAAGGAGTAAATACTGTGTTTAGACAACAAAAAATAGACCAACATGAATATCAACCAACTCCAACGCCCTAAACATAACCACATTATCAGTGATGTTTTACATATAGATTCATTTCCTCTCCACGCAAGAAGCACCAACTGATAGTTGCGAAAAGAAAAAAAATAATAGATACTAACCTCGAGATCAGAAAACTCAAACCAAGGACAGCAGTCCAAAATTTCACAGACAAAAACAACAGTGTCGCGTACAAGGAAACCAGCATCCGCTTCCAGCATGTCTGATACCTTCATAAATTGTAAAACAGAGTTATTCCACGTCTTCGTACAAATAGAAGATTCCTTCCATACAGTCTTCGATGGATTTTTTTGGTTCACCACAGCCATCCTGTATCTAACCCAGAAGTTCTTATCTGGATCACTAGCGACTGATTGATCACTCTCCAAGTATATGCATATGGTGTCAAAGGACTCATACACACCTGATCAAAGGTAAAGAACCACAGTCAGGAGAATAATGAAAGGGGAACACCACAACAAACAATTTTAGAGAGGGCACGATAGAGTTACCCACCAATACGAAGCTCACATCCACCAGCTTGGAAAAACTTGCTAAAAATTTTCCGGGTCTCCATTATCTCTTTGAAGGACAAGAAGTTCTCCACCTTCCACGTGAATGAACTTTTTTTCTCAACCTTGTCAACTTGATAAGCAGCACTTGGAGACTCGATATCCTGGTCTGTGAAATCTTGCATTATCGAAGTCTCTTTCAAAATGAGAACTTCAGCAGAGAATACTACAGTATCTTGAACAAGGAATCCAGAGTCCTGGTCAAATAGACTTGTAAGTGTCACAAATTCACGCCAACCCCAATCCTTTGCAGCTTTGGAGTATCGATTCTGAGATTCCTTGGTGACTGATTTCTCCTCCGTCTTTTGGTTCACAACTGATAAACGATGGCTAACAAAACAACTCCATTCACTGGAAGTATTTCTTGAATCTGTAACCTCAAGAAACACCGAAAGGTGACATGGAGGTTGAGACTGCCCTGATGCAACAAAGCAGACAATAGACTCTTGTTAGTTTAGTCTCATAGCACAACGTAAGAACATTAAGGCAATGCAAGCATACATGCACCCAAAGGCTGCCTCCATATCCTCCTATGTTTTTAGCATCATCCTAATCAATGTCAAGGACAACGATCCTGAAGTCAAGCATTCATAAACACAAACCATTACAAACCACCATTAGCAGCATAGATCAGAAAAGAACCAGTGAACCACAAACACCAGGGGGGATAGATTTAAATCAATGTACAAGAGGCATGATCATTTAGGATTTTATATCTATGCATTACGGACACTCCATACCTCTGGGGTAAACAATGAGACGACAATCACGGTTGCCAATCTGAAACCTCCGACTCTTGATGCAGAGGCCTGTAATCTTTCTTTTCTTCAAAAGGTCCTTCAACCTTGTAAAATTCTCAATCCTCCAAGTAAATTTACCCAGATGCCCATCAGACTTCCTCGCACCATTACCAATCCTGCCACCAATAGAACCCCCATTCTTGGAGAAGCTACTGAACTCCTTAATCACATGGAATGAAGTACTGAAAACGGCAGTGTCATCCAACAAGAACCCGGAATCGAGGCCAACAAAGTCGGCCATTTTCATATAGTCATTCCATCCCAAGCTGGTATTGTCCCCACTCTTATTATCGGCAGCAAACCGGCCATAGGAGTCCCTGTGCATGTGATTCGAGCCAGGCTTTTGATTCAACACAGACATCCTAAACAAACACCAACAGCTCCTATCAGAGACCACTGTTTTCTCAGTGTCCTTACTCTCCAAACACATAGAGAGATAATCATGGCCATTGACGGTGCTCTGGTAGACACTAATCCTGAGGTTACACTCCCCAGCAGGGAATACAGGGCTCATTATCTTCTGCGTCTTGATCATGTCCTTAAATAGACTGAAATTATGGACTTTCCAAGTGAATTTACCAGTCAAGACATCAGATACAGGGGCGGCGACGACGGAGGACGAAATGATGGACGAAGAAGAAGGGGACTGGACGTTGTTGTCATTGTTATCGCGGACAAAATTAATGGACTCATTAAGGATTAGTATATCGGCTGTGACGAGAATGGAATCGCTATTGAATAAGAAACCTAATTTGGAATCGAAAACGGTGGAGGAAGGGGTGAAATCGCACCAGCCGTGGGACTTCTTCTTGGTGGAGAACCGGTGCCACGAATCACGATTGATGGTCTTGGAATCGTCGGCGAGATTGACGATTGACAGCCGGTAGCTGGCGAAGCAGTCCCATTTGGAGGAAGAGGTGCCCCTAGGGTCCATGATTTGGAGGTAGATTGAGATGTAGCCCGGCAAGGCCTGCGAGTCGCCCTTAGGGTATATCAACAGGCGGCAATCGTAGCCGCCGACCTCGAAGTACTTGCTCCACAGTGCCCTAGCTTTAACCCGGGGGAAATTGTGGACCGTCCATCTGCAGATGGCGGAGTACTCACCGCGGCGATCGACGGTGACCGTCTCCTGCGCCCCGCCGCTGCCGTCCCTGGTGGAGCCGACGGCGAGGTCCTCGACGGGGATTGAGGAGGAGGAGGCGGAGGTGGTGGCCGCCGCCGCCGTCCGGGGCAACTGCTCGGTGGAAGATAATATCACGGACGAAGAGGAAGATGAGGCAGAAGATAACGACGACGATGGCGGCGGAGATGAGGATGACGGTACTGCCTCGGAGGAAGTGTGCTTCATTGCTCCGACGCGCCTCTCTCTTTCCTTTTTTTTCTTTTTTTGGGTTGAGCTTCTCTTTTCTGTTTCTCTTCCCCTCTTTCTCCCTTGAAGCAGCTCTCTGTATCTGGTATGTTTTTAGTGTCCATGAAACCGTACCGTACAGACGGTTCAACCACGAAATACCAGTATTGGAGGCTAAACCGATATGCGATCTTTACCGGTAAAACGGTTGAACTACGGTTAAACCACGATTTTACCATAAAATACCCTGTCGCTGACTTTTCCGGTACCGTCTCCGGTACGGTTTCATGGACTATTTTATTTGTTTTTTGTTAATTGTATTATTTGTTATGGAGAAGAAACGTTTCGCAGGGTGAAGTGTGTGGTTAGAGGACGAGAGAGAGGGATTTCTGCGTTTTGGTTTGGACAACGAGCGGCGCATGATAGTCTTAGCCTACACTAGTTTGATTTTGTAGTGTTTTTTTTTACTTTTGTTTTTCCGCCCTACGCGACCGGGGCGGTGGTCTCACTGTCACTTGTTGTCTCTACGACGTCGTTGTGTTCGGTGTATGTATTTGATACGAAAGGAGGACGTTAGGGGTTGATAGATTGACTGGGCTTCTTGAAATAGAAATCACTCAGTTGGATCCTTGGGCCCACGAGGATTAGGGCCAACAGATACCTCGCACGTGTTTCTAGTTAATGCTATTGATTGATGTACGAGGAAAAAGTAGAGATTGTAATATTTGTAGGCAGTTTCTCGAGTCCGATTATGGTATGTTTTGCAAATATTAGAAGATACAAATGAAGACATTTTTTTCATGAATGAATAGAAGAAAAAAATGTTGATACTTCGAAGAGCAACTGACAATTTTTTTAAGGTTTAAATTATTTATTATTGCGGTATATTCTTTAGTGATTGGTTATTAAATACTTGCCGTGACGTGAGAGTTAATTATTCAGAGGACGAATTGGGCCCGCTATGTCTGGGTATTTTATGGACCTCATCTCATTCCAGGGCGCTTGCTCAGATTTTCGACTTTATTGGGCCCATTAGAAACGAACCCGGGCCCGTGGATAACATGTTGACAGTCCCCATGTGTCAACGCACATTTCTCTCTAGCCAACTCGGTGGCCGCGACTCAGTCCCTTCATTCCGACCGCCGGTCCCCGCCTTTCCGAGTCCGCTTTCACCGAATCGCTAGGGTCGCAGGTTTCTCTCAACATTCGTTTTCGTCCGTTCGAGTAGTTGAGGTTTTTCAACTCAAGGCAATTCCTTGATTCGGTACCGAGAACTTAGACCCAGTTGCGAGATATAAGTCACATCTTTCTTTACTGTTCCATGCTTCTTCAGGAGTTCATTTGATCCCATTCTTCACATCACATCGGTATGTGCATCAGCAACCAGAGGCAGTGTTCAGTGTAGAATTCATGAAATGGATTTCGAAGTTCCTACTTCTTATGCCGCGAAAGGCAATGGATCATTTCTAGTTTGGTTCCGATGGAAGAATTTAGGTCCAAGGGAAGGTACAGAACCAAAGTCAGCTGTCGTAGTGCAGGCCTGCTATGATAATGGTGCTTGAATTCTACCTTTCAAGTTCTTTCGTTTCAAATCCTGAATTGAACCATATTTGGCACATAGCACCAGTTGAGTCTAGAGAGACAATTTTTGATAATGGAGTCTAGAGAAACAATTAATCTTGCTGATTCAATCTCCAATTGCAAAGAGTAGCTATTAGCAGAGTAGAGGCCTAAAGAGGCTCATTGACGATTTCTACAAACCAAAACCACTTAAGTTCACCCATTGACTGGAAAGAAAGTACCACGAACCCCAAATGCAGCACAGATTTTTACATCGCTAACAACCACTTAAGTTCACTCCTTGATGATTACAAGGTAAACGAAGCATACAAAACCAGAACCAGTGCAAGCAAGAGAGACCATGCGAGCAAGCAATCGAGTGCTTCACATTGCTGCGAACCCGAAATCTAACAACAAACTTAAGTATGCCAAAGAGTTCTGAAATATAACTTTTAACACGTAACTGGGATGAGAAAAAATGACTTCACTATAAGCACACAAAAAGCCAATCGAAATGTCGCAATCAACAGTTGCTCTCTCTACAAGCAAGTAGGTAATGTAAGTCCATGGCAGACGAAAGCCAGTACACCGTATATAACCGCTAGGAGAAGGATTATCAGAGCAATCCTGCAACAAGAAAAGAAACTGATCATCAGGATGAACGAACTACTAAAACTTCTAAGCCAAATCGACATCCAAATCGGTGAACTTAAAATGGTGTTCGTTTCCTTTTAGATTAGATTAACATACATCAGCTTCACATTTCTCCACCATGTTGTGCTTCTGAACCGGCGAGCTTGCTTTCTGAAACGGAAGGTGTTTCCTTGCATATTGGATGTTTTGTCTACCAGCAACTCCAAGCGATCGCCTCTCTCCAGCACCTTATCGATGTTCTCGATCATCACATTTCGCACCTATTGCACAATGTTTAAGAAGATTATACACGCGTGTTATGAAGAGGAAGTTCATGTGGGAAGCAGTCTGTCTGTAAGCTCAAGTCGCCATTCTCAACCAAGCAGTCTGTCAGTAATTTCATTTTGCACAATGGTAAAGCAGTAAGTTTCCACCTACTACCTACCCTCCACACATCCTAATCAGTCATTGGATAAATCAACTCACCAATCAGGCTAATTCTCTAGCAGAGATGCAAACTGACGGGAAATCTGAAGATGCCAATCCAAACAATCGAACTAAGCAGCCATAGATGAAGCAATAGAAGCTTTGAATTGGTTGGGAACAAATGAAAAGAATTTCGAAATTCGCAACCTACCTAAAAAGCATCCATGGAGCATCAACTGAAAGTGAAAACTCATTGTAACAAAGACGAAAGAGCACTAAAAAGCCTTTACCTGATTCATTTCACCTTTCAGTCTGTTCATCCTATCTGCATTGGGATCGCTGGAGTAGTACTCCATTTGCTGGCTCAAAACCCTGGAGAATTCGTCATTCATACCATAAGCTTGAGCTGAGTGAACACTACGGCCATAAGTTCTCACAAATCTCTGATGAATGTCTTCGAGAAACGCGAATGGAATTCTTCCTGCCAAACCGACCAATTGACAAAACGTACAAGCAAAACATAGTCATAATCCTACTTCAAACACAATTTCACTACTGGATCGACGCCGCCATTGACCGGAACCGGAGACGAAAATGAGGAAAGAAGAACAGAGCGGAAAGGCTTACTTCCGGCGTTCTCTTCGGCCATACAGAGAACAGTGAGGCCATCGGTGCGCTTGACGTGGAAGATGTAGCGATCTTGAGAATACGAGACGTGGCTGTCGTCATTTCCAGGAATCTTGCCGAGAATCTGTTTGGCTATGGCGCTGGCGTTGGTCGCCGTCGCGCTGAACTCCGCTAGGACCACCGATCCCCTCGCCACGAGCGCGTAGAGAATCGCCATACCCGCCGCCGGGGATCTCTACAGAGATCGGAAACCAGAGAAGCTTCGTCTCCCGATTCTCTGCCTTTGTCGGAAGATTATTTTAGCTTTCTAATCTGAATCGGAGTGGGATTGATTGAATCATCCAAAGCTTTCCAAGAGAGCTGGCTTTCTCTACTCTCTCTCTCTCTCTCTTAAACTTCTGTCGACCTACTAAAAGATTGGGCCCAATCGGCAATCAACGTGATGCCGTGCGAGAAAGAGCGCTCATTGTCCAAGCCGTCCCCTCACAAAGGCCGGTAGATTTATTTAAAATGGTTTATTATCATGTTGAGTCCACATACTATGTCTTCTGACAAATGAGCCCTCGCACTGATGATTTATAGCGACCAAGTCCATGTACTTTGTTACAGTTAAAAACTAGTCCTTTATTTGATAAAATAATCAGTGATTTTCTTAATCCCCCCTTTTCTTTGACAAATTTTGAAGATCTTTCCTTTCTATGTGGCATACTTCCTCTCCTTGATCTTTTGCAATTTGTTTTAGAACTCTTGTAGAAGATGAAAGTTTGTCAGTCATGAAGCTAATTCCTAACGAAAATATGAGTTATTAATGAAAAAAATGGTTAATAAATTTGAGAGTTTCACTCCCAGTCCCAATCTTACCAGTAGAATTTCAATTGTGAACAAACTAATTCGATCAGTTGGTGATGTTTATCCCAAAAAAATTTAACACAATATTTTATTGATAATTTTGGTTTCCAGGATAAGAGTGCAAGTTTATAGAGAATGTGAGGAGTAATAGGAAAAAACATATGATGAAATGATACATAGAGATGAACCGATTAGTTGGTGGCGGTGTTCATATCTTTTCGAATTGAAGAGTCACGATGTAAAAAAAAAGATCTTTAATATATCACAATTTCATTTTTCGATGATTTTTTTTTTTACATGTTAACTTTGACAAATAGAGCATGGGTAAAAATGGAGAAACAAGCCTAGTTGTAGATTCGATTGATAAAGTATGCCGAGTCATTGTGAAGTTTGATGTCACATATTACGGTTTCGTGTGATCAAAATATAATAAATATAGGGACCTTTCTTCTAACAACAACATAGTATGAGAACTTATTCAGAAACTATAATATAAGGATTTAAAAGACAATTATTCTTTATTTTATTTAGTTTCTGTTTTCTTTCCAGCTTCTTCTTCGGTGTCGACACATTTGGCGGAAGGAATGGCCATTCAGCTGCGTTACAGCAGGTCACATAAGATTTTTTTGCATTTTTCTGAAATATGAATAAGTGTAAATTAAGTCCTCATTGTCATAGTCTCATAGACGACTTGTCACTTTTTTTCTTTTCACAAAATGGATATCGAATATATGTTAACTAACAAAATACTACTTTTTGTTCGAGGATTCATAATATATATCCACTTTGGTGTGAAAATGTTTGCTCATGTAACGTCTCTAAAATGGGACAGAGAAAGAACACAAAAACACAGGGAAGGGCAGATACTCTTGCTGCTGTAGGTAAAATACAGGAGGTAGGGTGGTGATACAGATGAGAGAATAACTAATTGTAGTGGTTATCCAATCAAATTCGAATCGGGTTTATGAAAGAAAATTTAATTGATATTTTTTTGTGGGTTCCCCGAGCTCGACTTGTAAGGTACTAAATTTGGTTTGATTTCTATATTTTAAATATTTGCATTGAACCCGCCCAATTATGCCTTGCAAATTAACTATGTTCTAAACTCACTCGATTCAACAATTATATCATACTTCTTTCTTAAACATAATAATTATGTCCTAAACCCCAAATCTTGCTCACTTTCTCTCACTTTTACAAAGAGCATATCAATGAAATTTCAATTTTAATTGACATTCTAAGAAAACTTTTACATTATATTAATAATTTTATACATGATTGTTCGCAGCTGGTACATGTGGGTGGTCCCCATACTACATATGGATAATTTTTGATATGTCATTATCCATCTCCATCCACATTTGATTATGGTGATAGTTACGATTTTAAATCGTAATTCGAAAATACTATAAAAAAATTAGCTCCACTCAAATCCTATTGTAATCTTCGTCCTTAGTTGGTGTACAAAGGGAAGTGTGCCCAAGCTATTCATTGTGACTTCTCAAATGTCAAATTATGTTGTGATAACTTAGAAAAATAAAACAAATTCAAATAAGTTGAGCTTTCTTTCATTAATGTCACACCTCTCTCTCCTAAATCTCTGATTCCACCACAACATAGTTCGCAACAAGAATACTTTAGAATTTCCTCTAGTCTCTAATTCTTAAATTGATAAATACTCTAACGAATGAAGGAATTATGATGTGAACATGTGTAAAGTCGGTAATGCACATGTATAAACCAATAGATTTTCGTATATAAATATGTGACCATCGACGTATATATCTTTGTGGTGAATGACGGGAAATAATGTCATAAGAATTTGTCTTATAAAAAAAGGTGTGTATCTACTATCCCATATATAGGGTCAATAAGTATGCTTATGTATGCACCCATTGCGTACAAATCATTGTTTGCACTAAAAACATATTCTTATCACATTCCTATATACGAGAAGATATGTGGCGTTAAATAGCCAACCTAGTCATAGTAACGAAGATATGTGGATTCGGGTACATAGCCGCAGGAAGAACAAAGAAGAAGAACGACTCTAGCTTCCTTTAACTTGAGTTGGGTATGGTTAGCGGTTCAACCGAAGAGGCGAAGACAATGAGTTTGTCGCTTAGAGTAATAGTCCAATGTCTTGGATAGCTTTTGTTACCGTTGCACAGTACTTACTGATCAGGCATCACAAACTATTTCTTTGTAGATCGGGAAATAGGAAGTACGATAAAGCAAGAAAACAAAAGTAAGAACGGAACACGACACTCGAATTTGCATAATTCACTGTCATGATGTGTGTTAGCTAGTCCTAGGGCAGGAGAGAGCCAATTTCACTATACTTCGAGGAGATATAGATTACAAAGGAGTATGAGAAGTATTTATAGTACTTTTCATGTGATCTAACCCTAGTCCAATATGATAAAGGAAAGTGGTTACAACCAGACCCAAAACAGCGATACCCACGTGACATATATCCAATAATAGCCTGATAGTCCGATTCTTCAAATCACATCAACATGTACAATAATGAAGAACCAACGAAAGCGCGCAGTCCGCCAATATCTCCCAAACTATAAGATCTCACTTCCCTTCTTCTTTCTTTCCTCCGATAAACCCTAGCATCCTCCAAGGCTCTAGGGTTACAATATCCTTCTAAGAGTCACCTTTTTGACTAAGATGAGGATGAACCAAGTTAGGCTAGCTAGCTAGCTAGCTCCCAACACAATGAACAACACATGCAATGCCCAATCTGGCCCGGCCAAATTAATGGTAGTTGTCCATGTACGATCCTTGCTGAAGCCAGCCAGCCAGCTGCCCTACGTACCCTAGCGAAGATTCACCAAACACACTCGTGAACGTTGCAAAATCCCAACTTGCAAAACCAGTGGCCCAAAAGCCCAAACCTACCCAGCAAACTAACAAATTACCACACACCAAATATCTCTCTCCCTCCCTCCCTCCCTCCCTCTCGCCCAACAAACGTCCAAAACCCTAGCCATGTGAATCACTATTCAGTACAACATTATCATCCCCCCTTCTCTTCCACTCAATTCCCACCTCACAATTCCACTTTATAACACTCCCACAGCGCCACTCACACCCACCCACACCATCCAACCTCACCCAAAAAAACCCACTCAACACACTCTCCACAGCCGCCGCCATGGCCGCCGTAATTAGCAACAAGTTGACCGCGGTCCTCCTCATGACCAACCTCCTCTTCTTCACCGCATTCTCCGCCGCCGCCGCCACCACGGACTGCGCCTGCGGCAAGTCCCCGCCCAAGGCGCCGGCTCCCGCGCCGCCTGCGAAGTGCCCGAAGGACGCGCTGAAGCTGGGGGCGTGTGCCGACCTTTTGGGAGGGCTGGTCCACCTGGTGATCGGGACGCCTCCGGCGAGCAAGTGCTGCGCCGTGCTGGAAGGATTGGTGGACCTGGAGGCCGCATTGTGCCTCTGCACCGTCATCAAGGCCAACGTCCTCGGGATCAACCTCACCGTCCCCGTCGCCCTCAGCCTGCTCCTCTCCGCCTGCGAGAAGGAGGTGCCTCCAGGGTTCCAGTGCTGATTTGGGTTTTTTATTGGCGTGTAATTGTGATTAGTACTCAATTTGGCCACGTGCGTGCATGTAGTTTGTTAATGATTCGTTGATTACGTGCGGACCTTAATTAGGACGATTTCTCCTACGTGGGGCTGCCGTCAGCTTGATTTGTACCGGTTTGGTTATTTTTTTAAAGTTATTTTCATGCTTCTTCTGTGTTCGTACGGGTTCTTGTTTAGTTCTAATTAGTTTCGGAAGCCGTTAATTTATTTTAATTAATTATGTAATTTGTTTGTGTGGAATAATTGGGCAAGCCTGTTTGCCTTGTAGTACCTTCTTGTTGTGTCATGTCATGTATGTCTGTGTATCAAGTACGCTGTTATATATATGTATGTTAAATCAATTGATTGTCCAGTTACGCTGTTGTGGATCTTAATTTATTTTAATTAATTATGTAATTTGTTTGAAAACGAGATTAAATTCTGGATTCTCATAATAATTCTAGTTGTTGTGGCGAATTGGTTCTCGCTATGGTGTTGATGTCTTTGGAGAAAAGGTAAGATGTTTGATGACTTTCAATATTAACATGGCAATTAGGTGATGGTGTGATGCGCAATGTATTGTGAGTTTGTGGAATCATCTGAAACACAAAGAACTTTCGATTATCCTAAATGATCGAATTATTAATTAACATCCCTTTTGTTTGGACATATTATTGCTTCAGTACGCCGGTCTAATAATATGGGGCTTTTCTCAATTTTATCCGAGCCTGCAATCATTACATAGGAATGGCATGTGATTAAGAAATTTTGTCAACTAACCATAACAGATAGGTACTCACCGGGAAGAAAGAAAGGAAATTATATTTGAAACAACAGAGAGGGGAGTTTGGAATGTTGTGTACATAGAAAATGGTACACGACAGTTATACTTGTAATATGGAAGAAGAAAAAAATCAACTATGAAGGAAATTCAGTAATTCGAAAGTTGTTCACTCATATCTCTCACAAATGTGTCAACTAGCGTTGAGGACTGTACGTGGTCCTTAAAGTTTGGGAGAGGACGTTAGTTGATATTATTTGTAGGGCTACTCAATCAGAATTCAGAATAAGGAGAAAACAACCTATATGTGGTCGAAAAGCAAGCCTTGAATATCTACATGTATCTAAAATATCAAAATCCCATATTTCTTGGATGAATCAGTCAAAAAAAAGAAATATATAGTGTTCGAGTTAGTGCATGTCCAAGTGTACAAAATATCACATTGGAAGAAAAGGAAAGTGCAAGTGTGTTTGTAAAGATGTTTATGAAGCTCATTTTTTTATTTTTTACTTTATTTTATTGATAGAATAATTAGTGGATTTTTATTGCTTAATTAATTAATTTCATATAAATTGCTTTTTGGTTGCTTAGTGAATCAATTAATTTTGATTCTTGTGAAACTATTTTTTCACAATAAAAGTCTATTGATGCCATAATTCATTTCTAATCTTCTTCTTTATCTGCTTCCACTTTCTTCCTTAAAAATCAACAATACAGAGATTTGCAATTTGCTGCTTTCATATTTTGGTTGCAATATTACGGATCCCCGGCACTTCGATTTATTCCGTTTCATCGAAATTTTATGACAATTAACAACTTATTTCAACATTCGATTGAGATCCTCCCTACATTTAAAAAAGGTCGCGGAAAAGGAAGAAAATGAGATCGTATAACTCCATAACATTATTAGACTATCGGCGTGATGATTACATATTGCGAGAGGGATACTTTGCTAAATATAAGAACACCAATATGTGAGGACTAGGGGTGGAAATCGGTACGGTATCGGTATCCCAATACCAAATACCGAAATCTCGAATACCGAATTACACCCTAGAATCAATCCCAATCCCAATCCCTAAATAATTTCGGTATCCCAATCACAATCCCTAAATATTTCGGTATCCCAATCGGTACTTCGGTATCCCAATCGGTATTATCGGATATGAAATTAATTACATTTATAATTCATAATTAATATATAAATTAGATTTGATTGTTTAATATAGGACAAATAGACTAAACAAAGAGTTTTGAGTTTGACTAGAGCTAGGATATAGATAAGGAGAATCGAGTAGAGGTGACATCTCAAGTTTTTGTCATTCATAATCTTTAATTTGACGAATTGAAGGCTGAGAGAAGATTAATACTAGTGTTTGCTTTTTGGTGTTATGAAAATAACAATAGATTGGTAGTTGAGGGTAGTGTAGTAGTGAATGAGAGTCTAGTTGAGAGGATAAACTACACACTAGCTTATATTTCGGTATTGTTCGGTACTTCGGTATATACCAATCCCAATCCCGTAATCCCTAATACTGAATAACAATTGAAATTGAATCCCAATCTCAATCCCAAACAATAATACGTGTATTCGGTAATACCAAATATAGACAAATTTTATACGATATTCGATATATCCCAAATACCGGTACCAAACTTTCAGCCAGGACCATAGTGCCGCCTGCCTGGATAGCTATAACAAAGACATATTGGCTATCTATCGATTTGTCAATTTATCATTATAGGAAATTCAGTTTGGGGGTACGACTAATCAATTGAATTCGTTATGTTATGAGTAAATTAATCTCGACTTTTTGGTCGGAAACCAATTCGTTTCTGGTTGCACCGAAAACCATCAATTGGGCAAACTCACGGGCCACTGTCCAAACTGTAGTTGGCCTTATGGAATTCGGTTTTGGTTAACCATAAACCACCCAAATGGTTGATTTTCGGTTGGCCCGGTAAACCACAACCCGGTTCCCACAATTAGGTGGAGACGTGGAGTATTCTTTGATTCTTTCCTCTTGCCTTCCCCGCTGGGAAGAATGACAACAAATAAGCTTTCTTGTTTGTGAGAGAAAACATAAAAAATAGAAATTCGATTTTTGCTTCTTCAGGCAGCCCATTAATCCGAGCCAGTCGCTCGTCTCTTGTTCTCGGTCTCGCCGTCTCGCAGCTCCAGTTGGACTAGGAGAGAAAAATATACTGAGAGAAGAGAGAGACAGAGAAGACCCGAGGAGGAAACGGAAAAAATCAATTACCAGCAGTTGACACGTTGCGCTCCGCCGCGCTTCCGCCTGGCTACGGCGCTTCATTTCTTCGGCCACCTGGTCTTCGTCGTCGTGTTGCGCTCCTCCACGGAGGAAATCCTGAACGGATCAAACCGTGACGGGGATGATGAAATGAGAATCCCGTCCATCCGACGCTACCTCTGCTATCTCCTCCTCCTTCATCCACTCATCGCTTCTCTGATCCTGATCCTAAAACCCTAGCTTATCGGTTCGATGCTCTCGATTTCGGTGTTTCTATTCCTGACGATTGGAGAGTAGATAGTCCGGATTTGCGGCCCTGATCCAATTCGAGCGAGTGGAGAAAGAGAGAGTGATCTTCAGCGATCATTCTCGATTTCTTGAAGGTACCTGGAAATAGATACTGCAAGTGAGATAGACGGTGTGAAGAGAAGGAATCATGCAGAGACGGAGTCCACCGAAGCACAGACACGATGGGACTTCGCCTTTGCCCCTGGGGATGGATTGGAGCCCTCCTCCTCGGAAATGGGTAACAATTCCTCCTAATTATTGGTACTCCTTTCATTTTGCTTGCCACCGAGCTGCTACTCGCCCTTGATCGAACTCTCTTGAGTTATTGGATTAGAGTTTGGTCAGAATTGGATCTTGTCTTCAGTTTTTTTGGTCTGTACAGAATATGCTTGGAAGTGAACTAGCTTTCCTAGTCATAATGGCATTTGATCTGTGACATGATTGTGCTGACCTGTGACAGCTTGATCTAACTGGCTTTCCAAGTTTATGGTTCTATGAAAACTAGGAATGTGAAGTTAGGATGATAAGGTGATTGATCAATGTCATTTATTACTGCATCAGTTGGCGATAATAAGTGCAAACGCTTTCGGTAGCTTTACCAGGTCACATAATTCTCTGTACTCGTGGCATTCCTTGTGAGCTTGAATCTCATCCGGGACCGGAATTCGGTTGCTTTAGATCCATTATGTTGGTATTTTAGCCGAAGCAAGTGCAGGATTTGGGTACGTGGCAATTGGTGGTACCTTCTCGGTTTTCTGAGTACACTAGACAATCAATCACAACTTCCTCCCATATTTATAGTGACCCGGGAACAAGTTCTTCGTACCTCCTTTAAGTATCATAAACTGTTCTGACGTTTGAGAATTAACCTTTCCTAATTTCTTGCTCTAAGATCTATTAGTTTCTTTATAGGCGATATTGACATCACAGTTCGAACACTGAATTGATTGAATGTTCACTCTTGCATTTAATGGTTATTCTTTTGTTAAATACATCAGATCTGTTCTAAATCTGCAGGATGGAATCACCTAGGGTTTACACCTGTAGAGAATATGTTGTAGCAACTTTTCTTTTGTTCATCAGCAATAAGATTTTCAGGGAATTTAAAATAAGTAAGAAAGGTACTAACTAGAAGTTAAATGCATAATGCAGTCTGGCAAGCATTGGTCACCAATCATTTGCATGGATGTGTTAGCGAGTGATCTTTCCTTTTCACTTAACTGGAACCCTTTGGATAAATTTGCTGTTTGTCCTAGGGAGTTCTTAGTTTAGCAGCACCCTGCCATCTCTGGAAAAGTTTTGTGCATCTAAAGATTAAGGATTGATGCACTTTCTTGTTTGTCCTTCAACTTTTTGGTATAGCCGCACCTGCTATGTCTGCAACTGTTTTGGTGCATCTAAAGATCAAGGATAAATACAATTTGTTTTGCAGAGTGGACGAGACACTGTTTGGCCACATGATCCTAGAACGGGATGGAGTTACTGTGTCACTGTGCCTTCCTGGGTTGTCCTTGCAAAGTCGAGAGATTCGGATCCTGTAGTGGTACATGAATTGAATGCCTCTCCAACCTCTTCTTTTAATATTAAGGGTTAGAAGTTGTTATTACATGAACTTGCTGAACTAAATATTGGGTTTAGTTACAAATACTAATGGCTTCTTGCTATCCTCCCATCTCCTTGTTTAGGATGTTTACTTGTCTGGTCCTGTAATGCGTTTGATGGTCACTTAATAAATGCTCATGTATTCCAGTTCCTTAGCTTGATATGGATATATATACTAATATGCTCAGACATATCCCCATCAACAAAACATAGTGAAAAACATAAAGGTTTTTGTTTGTTGACCACCTTCAGCTTGGTTAGAACTCATTCTATTCTTGTAGTAGACTTCGATGTCACCTCTGAGTTGTTCAAGGAGATTGGGGGTTCAAATCGATGAATTAACCATTGGCTATAAGTGCAGCCACTAGGGTACAGGCCTCTAGCAGCTTGTGAATATCTAGGACCGGTGGTTTCTTTTCCTTTTGAATTCAATATTTGTTCGCCATCCCCTTCTATTGTTTTAATGAATGTGTAACATTGTATGATTTGTGAATCTAGTAAGTGAGCTTTGTGGGTGAAGGAATTCCTTGGGCAGGCAGTGCATCTATTTCTTTGCTAGGCTTTATGTTTTAATACCATTCTAATGCATTTGGAAATGAAGGATGGGTATTTTTGTACTTGTTCTGAACTTCATTCAAGTTAACGATCATAAGGGGCAGTTTTACAGGGTTCAGGTTGGTTTGCAATCACCTGAAGGGTTAACAGTTACACGTGGAGTACTGAGAAGATTTAATGATTTTCTGAGGTTATTTGCAGATGTAAGTTCACAGCTTACTATAATAGGTTGCTTGAGTCCCTTGGGCAATTTTTGAATTCACTGTTCTTTATGATACTCGCTTGAATAAATTATTTGTATGGACAACATATGGGCATTTATCTACCATTTGGATGAATTTTGCAACATTTGGAAAATGTGTCATATTAATAGTTCCTTTTACAGCTTAAAAAGGCATTTCCAAAGAAGAGTCTTCCACCAGCTCCACCCAAGGGACTATTGCGTATGAAAAGCAGAGCATTGTTGGAAGAGGTAGGATATCTGTTTTGAACTCTGTAGTGGTTTTTCTGTTGATAATGATTAAACGTTGCTCCCATGGATGTTCTCTCACCCCCTTGTTGAGCCGCATCTGTGTTTGTGTTTTTGAATACTTTTTACCCAGTATCGAGTGGGTTAAACTAACCATTAGTCCTCAAAGTCTATGGAGTCCTTAGAGATACTTGTAGCACATCTAGAGTTGGAGGTGTTAACCTTAGATTTACTTAACTTAAGCTTGAATCACTATTGGAAGGACTTTGTAGTTTGCTGATAAAATGAGGTTCCTTATCTGGAAAATCTTATGAATGAACAATAATATCTAATGTTTGTTTCCTGTTGTCACTAGCAAAATGCATAATGTTCCCAATCCTCTTGGCTCAGAAATTCTGATATTCGCCAACAAATCATCTTAAAATTACATTAGCAGCTCAACCATAGGTCTATGAGAAAAATTATCTCGCTCAAACATACTAGTGAAAACTGAAATGAGGAATGATGGAAGAAGTGGTAAAGATATTTGCATGATTTGGCAAATGCTAACTGTGTTTGGAGGTATCTTCCTTTTGTATTTAGGGTATGCATAATTGGCCAGCACAGTTTGACCTCCTTGGAAAACCAACTCTATAGTCCCAGAGTGTAGTTCAAATGCTTTTATGATCTGTGATGGAACCATGCTATAAGGTGGATACATTTCGATAAAGTTAGGTTCATACATAGGTATCATGAATAGCATTGAGAATATTTGATTGATTTTCCTACTTTTGGTGATTAAACTTTTATCAGTGGCACGATGTTATACTCACAGAACTCGAAATGGTCATTTTTTCTGCTAGTCCAATACTTAGGATGTATTAGTTTCATTTAGTATTTACTCAAGTCACTTGGGACTTGAATTTTTCTATTAGATTATATTCTATATTTGACTAATAATCTTAAAAGTCTTAGTGGTGTCACAGAGGAGATGCTCTTTGGAGGAATGGTTGACAAAGCTACTGTCCGATATTGATTTATCTAGAAGCATAGCAGTTGGATCCTTTCTTGAACTAGAAGCGGCTGCAAGGTCTGGTATGTACTCCATGTTTAGGTTGGGTATATTTTCATTTTCTATTTTGTACACTAGAAAGGTTTACCTGTATTTGATCCATAGGGCTTATAGAATTGACTTCTATTTTGGATTAGAGTCTGTCCCAATTGTACCCATTTTGTTGCTAATCCGCCTCTGGGACAGGAAACAGACCTTAGACACGTTACTAAGCCAATGAACCAATGTAGATGTCCCTTATTTCCTTCTAGTCTCACCTGTATATACCCATTCATATTCTTGTATATGCGATTAGGAAGATTGTGGGATGAGTAGTTAAGTCCTGCATTACTGTAGGCCTTGGGGGCCAAAGTCTCCTGCATATGTGTGGCAAATTTACCTGTTAAAGAGGAAAAAAGTAGTTGGCACATGTATAGAATTTTCCAGCGAAGCTCAGATTTCCATAATCTGCAAGTGGAAAAACTCAACCATCTACCCTCTTTTAGATTCCGAAGCTTAAGGGCTTTCCAGGCAATCCTGGTTCGGGGCGTATAGGAAAGGATTCTTTGTTTAAACCCCAAAGGTTTGTGTATGCAGTTGTTTCAAAGGATGTATCCCTGCTGAACTCTCTCCCTCTTTCATTGTTTAGCTTTTCAGGATGCAAATCAAGAGTCTCCAGAAACAGCTCTAACTGGCGATGCTACACCTACTTCATCTCAGATACCTCCTAATTCGAGCCCGTCTGCTCTTACTGCGACTTCGTCAATTGCTTCCGATTATGGAAGTGATACTGCTTATGAAGCATCTGAGATTGGAACTCCAAGGTTGGGAAAGGATGAAAGTTCTGAAATCGGGATGGAGGATCAAGCATTGGATGAAGATCTCACAGACCCAACAGAAAAGCTAGTGAAGTATGGCATTTCCAACATTGATGAAGGACTCTTAATGGGGCAGACTATCCTAGATAAGCTTGAAAGATTTCCTAGGCATAAACCTCACACCAGACATGCAAACATTGTGGGGAATTCCATGTACAATGGTAATGCCCCCAAAGTTCAACCCATTGTTGGCAATGGGGTGGAACCATTCTCTGAGCCAGAGCATGGTAGGGTGGCACTAGGCCATGCTCGGAAATTGTCTAGTGACAGTGCTGGGAGCGATGGAAGCTCTTTGAGAGGCAGTGAAAGTGCTGGTGTATCAAATTCAGGCACTGCTGATGTATCTCTTGACCTTGCAAGAGGAGCTGAGGTTTCCAGTTCTTTTGGATTTCTTAGCAAGATTGAGTCGCAGCTTTCAGCCGATACACAAATAATTATTCCATTTGATCAACGCCATAAAATGAGCAGAGTTCTAACAACCATGCAACGACGGCTAGGCACAGCAAAAACCGACATGGAGGACCTGATATCAAGGTTAAATCAAGAAAGAGCCATTAAAGATTATCTTGCTAAGAAGGTATGTAAGCCCTGGTGGATCGAAAGTGAAATGCTTTTTGGATTTTTGTTTCTTATTTGGACTAGATGGTAGCTCGATAGGAGTTCTTCCAGCTCATTTGTCGATGATTTTTATCTCACACATGGATCTTAACTAATGCTTTAGATATTTGTTATAACCAGGTGAAGGACCTAGAGGTCGAACTTGAAACCTCTAAACAGAAAAATAAGGAAAACCTGCAGCAGGCTATTTTGGTTGAAAGAGAGAGGCTAACACAAATGCAATGGGATATGGAGGAACTTAGGCGGAAATCCTTTGAAATGGAGCTAAAACTAAAGGCTAAAGAGGTCTGCATTGTCTATTGGTTTTGCTGTATAGATTCTTACTTTTTTTAACTGTTTGGGTTTTCTTTTAGGTTACAGCATCTGATACTATTTACTGTTTACATTAAAACTATTGCAGGATGAAAAGTCAAGCATGAAATTAGATGATGGACCTACAAATGAGAAGGACGTCGCGCAGGAAGAGCTAGACATTACCAAAAAGAAACTCGAGGACCTAATGAAGCAATATGAAGCATTGGAAGTAAAATCAAAGGCTGAACTAAAGTTTCTTGCTAAAGAGTTCAAATCTCTTCAAAGTTCCCAGAAGCAGTTGAAGCAGGACCGTGATCAAGCAATAAATGAGAAAGCCGAAATGGAGGTGACGCCATTTTAATGTTAAAACATTTGATACTATCATTTCGAAGCTTTGTAGAGTGTGCCAGACTTTCCCTATCCTTAATAGTGCATACTTTTTTTCTCTCCAGAAACACCTTGAACATGAGAGAGAGTCTAGGCAACATGAGAAAGACCGCCAGAAAAGGCTCCTGCACGATTGCAGGACTGTTTGGAGTCGACTCCAAGAATGCAACCTCAATTTATCCAGTGAAGATGATGGTAACAATTTTGTGCTGAACTCCTCATCTGAAGACGCGTTCGATTTATTGGAAACATTTGATGACCGGATTAGCCTTCTTCTTGCAGAGGTACACTGCCACTCTTCACTTTATTAGGATTCCCGACTCTTTGGTTTTTGCCCCGCGTGATCTCATGCTTTCTTTCTTGGTCATTTTCTTTGTGTGCCCAGGCACAACTAATAGCTGATGATGGTGGTGCTGATTGTAACGAGAAGACAATGAACAGTGAATTGAGGACATTGCTCGGAGACATACTAGCCGATAATGCAAAGCTGCGGAGACAGGTATACTCTGTTGCTCGTCGTGCTCTTCGAAAGGGCACGATTTCGAGGGAGCAGTCACTGGACATATCTAATGTAGATAGATGAACGAACCATAGAGAATCATATTCCCCTCTTCTCTTCTGTCGTGTTTTAGCTTTCCGCTTTCTTCCATTTGATCAAATTTTAATTTCACTTCTACATATGTATGGCCTGTGATGAAGAAGTTGATCTGCACCGAACTGCAGCTTTAACTATTTGTAACCTTGTGGAGCTTTCACTGTCCACTTATACGACGAAAGTCAACTAGAGAGAGAGAGCATTGCCTTCAACGGTTCATACCACCATCTTTGTACCTTAAGATAAAGCATTGTAGATTTTCTGGGAACTTTTATTTGGTGATGTTGGTCATAGTCGAAATTCGAACATGAGATCTCTCAAGGTCAAAAGCATGTTGTTTTGCTATTTGACGACTTTCTCGTTTGTCTATCACATTCAAGTTGCTTGGAACAGGCCATATTATACAAATTCAGGCACATGCCAAGTTTTTTTAGATAAAGAAAGACATGACCACTTTATTATGTTTATCTATATTCAATCTAGGGCTTTATTTGTCGAGTTCTTTTGCTCTATATAAAGAAGTAAAAAGAGATGCACACTAAAGTGACGAGATGGATAAGGAAAGGCATACGTTTTTTTATGTTTCCAATGGCGTATTTCTTGGTTGTTGGGTTTTGGAGTGGACTGAATCTTTCTACCTTTCTCGAACCTGAACAAATCTGCCCAGATGGAATCGAATCTTTCTCATTGTAAAATCCAAAATGCAGTTGCGATGCAGTGCTGTTGCTGGGCGTTCAGTGCATTTCATTGCATCAGCACAGATAGAGCAGGGGAGCAACCTGACGATATAAGTACGCACGGCACGACGCACTGATCAGATTTGCATCAACACCATAGCCAAATTCGTACAGAAACCCTTTCATGTGGGGAAAGAGATGAGATTCAGACTAAAACCACAAATGAATTGAATGATACATCATTGATCTATGCCAAAGTCTTCTTTCTAAATTGCTCATTCTCTTAAGTTACAACACAGGCCCTAAAGACAACTATCAATGCATAAAGTAAAAACCGCCACAAGAAAGAGAAGACTACTACTGCTACTACACAAAGCTACCGTGGAACATTCGGCTGCCCCAAACTTGAACAGAAGGCGCGCATACGAGAGTGGAGAAAACCGCGCAGACATTTGTTCTGCAGTTGCTCAAACTTCATCCCTTGGTTCTCCCCCAAGTCAGCCAGAGCATTGCACATTCAGAAACTCAGAGGAGATATCTGCTGGCAAAAGAAGTGCAGTTTGAATTAGTTAAACCGCAACACGAAAGGCATGAGGGAGAACTTGCATGCATACAAACCATGGCGGCAATTGTCTATTTCTCGAGGCTCCACGAGGATATACACTGGTTTTCCATTCAGCCTACACTGCCCCTGGAACCACGTTCAAGCAGATTCAGAATGCTGGGGAAACTTCCCTACAGTTACTAGGAAAAACATCTCTCCATTGTAGGAATATAGGGATTTTCATGTATCAATTACCTTGACTTCAGGCAAACCAACCACACATCCACATTCTACAACTTGCGCCCCCATGCGTTCTGAAAATGGCCAGTGCATCCACTGGTGTGAGTCGGCTTAAGAAAACTCAATAAAAGAGAACCGAGGACAGGTAAACCATATAATTATATACCCAAGAGCCTTATCGCTGCTGACAGTGTTCCACCTGTAGCGACCAGATCATCGACTATCAACGCACGATCCCCTGGCTGCACAGCATCTACCTGCATCTCTAAGCAGTCTGTTCCATACTCCAGCTCATATTCTTCGCATATCACTTTACCTGCATGGTATTTAGTCCGAGTTCAAACACCCCCTAGAGATGGGATTCAACCCTTGACATAAACTTAAGACCCCCAAGAGCCAATACTTTCAAAACTAGCCACAATTTTGGAAACAAACATTGTTGCATTGCCCCTATTCAACATACTACGCCTTACCGGGCAACTTTTTCGGCTTCCTCAAGGGTACAAATTTCGCTCCAATGGCTAAAGCGATCGAGGGACCAAACATGAAACCCCTAGCTTCAATCCCTGCAGACAAAGCACAAGGTCATCAATCAGTCATCAGGTAAAAGAAAACCCTCCCCACATCAAGTACACACAGTGAAGCCTAGCCATCTAATAACACATGGAACAACCATTTCCACAAAATTGAAGGACCATCCGATAGAGACAACAGGACTAAGGGGACAAGACCCACCACCATCAACTACCCTTTCCCCTTTTCTCCCTCGAGCTGAAAAATGCAATCCAAGGGGAACCAAGATTGCAGCTGGATGCTGCAAAAGTACAACGCACAATCTCACGAGAAAAATTTCCTAAGCAGATAGCTCCTCTCTTCATAATTGACTGTCAACCACACTAACCAAAACTCCATATCCAGCCAAAAGAAAAATAGCAGCCAGCCGACACTACACTAACCCAGATAAAGACACATGCAAGTGCTGATAAAGGACCCAAAACCCAAAATTTAGCCATGAGCAAGCTCCATGGCAATCAGAGAAGCAAGGAACACAACATACCAGCGACTACGGAAATGTCCATGTTCCTGTAACGATCGACAAAGATATCCACCGTATCCTGGAACGCCTTATGATCCAGCAAAAGGGTCGTTATATCTTGAAACATTATACCTGCCAAACACACAAAAAGATAAGGGAAAACGAAATTCACTTAGCACAAGAACTTCAAAAACAGAGGGAGAAGCGGCCAATAAAACCACAAAAGAAGAAAAGGGTTTTAGGGACACCTTTCTTGGGGAAGTGAGGGACAACCCTAATAGCCTGGGAGATGGCCTCAAGCCTTGGGTCTCCCTTCAGCCCGTTCTCTGCTGCAAACATACTTTCTCCTATCAGTACAGTAGACTCTGCTCTGTAGAAAGACTCGAGCTTTGGCTGTGGTAACGGGTTTGGTGAGGGAATTGGGAAAGGTGGGTTTAAAGAAAAGATGAAGAAGGTAGAAAGAGAAGCAATAAATTTTTCCTCCCCTACAACTACTACTACTATTGCTGCCAATAAGAAGCACGAAGATCAAAATGCTGCTCTGGCTCTCTGCTGCAGAGAGTGTTTTGTTTGTTTTTGTTTGGTAATGGGTTTTCCTTGTTTCTCTGACTAAAACTAGTGAGTAGTGACTAGTGAGGCTGGGAAGGGAAGTGAAGTGAGAGAGTGAATCAAAGCAAAATCCTGAAGGGAGAGCAGCAGTGAGTGAGTGAAGTGAGTGGGTTGAAGAATAAGTGGGCAATAAATACACCACTCTTTTTGTCTATTTATGTTTGGCCCCCACCCCCCACCCTCCAAAGCAAAGCAAAGCTCCCTCTTTGCGCACTGTTCCTTTCGCCCATAGCCCCAAAACCCTTTTGCCTCGTTGAGCCACACGACCCTCCCTCCCTCCCTAGTCCCTTGACCCCGTTTCCACGTAGCCGTAGCCGTAGCCATGTTAATTTCGACTTCACAAATCACATTCACATATGTTACTCGATCTGTTTGACTTGTTCTAAACGAGTTATACCTGTTTCATAAGCAGGGGCGGACTCAGGGGGTTTAGGGGTGTCCACACCCCTAAATTTTGGAAAAACGATTATCCAACCCCGGTGGTAATTTACGTATGGACAAAAAAAATATAATTGATAGTGAGGGACACCCCTTAAATTTGAAAAAATAATTATCCTACTGTCATTTGTGTATAGGAATATAAGTGGTAGGTTGGATAATTTAAATATAGAACACTATTATTATTAATAAACTTAATTTTCGTTGAGCTAAACTCATTTGTTGTTCGATTTTGACCAATGTGTAATAGTAAAATGGCATTCCCTATCTCTAATTATTTTAAAAACCTAACAATTAAACTAATTTCAAACTACCCTTAATTTGTATTGATTTTATGATTTTACGACAAGTGTTGAAAGAGTCTTTCAGCTTTGGGTTACATCAAGAACAAGTTTACAAATCGAATATGCGATAAGTTTGTGAATGATTGTCTAGCTAGCAGTGTATATAGAGACAATTTTTTAACACTATAGACACCAAGTGTATTCTACAATTATTTTCGAATATGAAAACACATCATGGACTTTTTAAACCTGTACGAGTAAGGTATTTTCATATTTACAATTTTATTTTTATTAATTATTTTTATTTAATTTATTTGCTAAAAGAGGACACCCCTAAGAAAATTTTCTGGGTCCGCCACTGCTCATAAGTAGGGTGAGAGAAATATGAGTACTCTTTTCGATTGTGCTCGTACTAACATGTATTATTTTCTATTTGGTTTTGTCTAAAACTTATATGTACCTTTGTCCAAAATTTACTTAAAACTTTTTTACTTTTATTATATTAATACTTTCTATAATAAAGTTATAAACATGTGAGAGGCGTGATTTCTCTATTAATTTAACTACATTTTTAATGAAAAATCAATGTTTCAAGGGTTTTCCATTAAGATACATATTTGTATATATGTCAAACTGCTCCTAACCGCACCCCAAAAATAAATGACCCTACCTAGTCTCGATCTATCATGAAACGACTATAAATATCGAGAAATCTGCTATGACTTGCCAATTGAGATTCGTATTTCCGCCCCATTCCCATTCATATGAAATAAATCCAATAAAATATGTTTTATGATTATTTTTGTTCATATTTAACATTACAAATCCTTTTTAATCATTTTACATTACCTCTCTCATAAAATAAAATACATCTGATAGTTTACTGACCAACGTTCAATTCTTTTTCCTAAGAAGATATTTACTACAGATTCAAACTAGCACTAAATACATCACATTCCATAACCAATCATTAAAATACACCTATTAAACCCTGTAAAAAGAAGACAAATCCGAAAAATATATTCGAAGTCGACGGATTTCAACCACACCATCACTAAACCGCACCGCCGGCTTGATATAAATGCAGTACCTATTGCTAAGTTGGATGATAAGCACTTCTCGCGTAACGAGTCATCCATATATGGTGTCCAAACTTCCTTTTCCAAAAATTCGGTTCAGATTTCATCATACATTGCATCAGAAAAAGGGATCATATTCATATCTGAAGGCAAAGGGTTATGTTTGTAGAGTATAAAACAGAAATTGCCACGTCCTGAGATTGTTGATGTAATACGAAATCTGTCTTTTCTCTTGTATTCTCCATCTCAATTGCGTTGATTATTAGAATCTTGACGTTGGAATGAGAATAGGATATGGATTGCTTTAATTTACTATGGGGCCATAGCTAGATACGGCTGATCTCAGCATATGTCAACACTAAGTTGACTTCAGTCTCTCTCACTTTCCCTCCCTCTATGTCTGTCAAGTATAGATAGGTGGATTTAAAAGTTGAAAGAAACACATGTGTCCCTATTTGAATGTTTAATGAAAATTATTTAAGGTGGACTGTGAAACGACGAAGATAGAATTGAAGGATTATCGAGAACTTTGTTGTATGGACGAGGATGCATGTTTTTTTTTTTTTATTAATCTAAGATAATATCGAAAACACAAGGGTTTATTAATACTAGCTATATTTGTAAATTCCTTTCAACTAAAAAGACAACGATCTCCGCACAAGATAGAGAAGCAGGTATAGACGTTGCTTTACTTCATGAGCGACATTGTTAGCAATCATATTCACCACCCTAAACTCTAAACTTGGGCCAAGAGTTGTCATCAAATGAACACAATCTCAAAGGACTGGTCCTTCTAATGCATATGAATCAACACCTCCTCCGATCAGACTAGCCACAATTTTTCAAATTTCATTTGATTGTAACATTCTGCAACTATCAAAAGAAGACCATCATCGAGCAGCTCAAGAGATAAGGATCAGAGATTCCCAAGTGCGGGATTTCAACCACTAGAAGAATTTTGTCGTCCACCTATAGTTATTTCTCCAATTCACTTATTTTCACGATCATCAAATTAACTACCAACTTTTCCCATTTTACAAGGGAGGAAAAACATTTGATGATCATACCGCTCCAACTATACTTTTTAACAGTAGATATTGTAGACTCTGTTACTGATACCAAATGATTGTGATTGACCACACACCAGCCCACTATAGGTGTGATCACAATCTCTTCATAACGATTTTAGGTCCAAATACACACATTTCTTCATAAAAACACTTCTTCCCATCCATCCAACCGGCCCTCAAAACCACAACATATATATTATTCACTCGTGCAAATAATAATAGCATCTCTTTTGTCCTTCTGCTGCTAATTAAAACGCCATGGATGGATCGCAAGCGGCCATTTTAGCTTCGCGAGGCGCAGAAGTGACGGGTGGGGAAGGGACATTTTGTTTTGATTAAATGATCATTATTTCATCATGTTCTTTCTTTCTTTCTCTCTGTCTCTGCAGTAGTACGCCTGCCTGCGCGTGCGTTTCAACAGTGTTCATCGTACCATCTCCTCCTCCTGATTCGCGTTTCCGTCACCCACTCACTCACTCACTTGGTTGGGGACCATCTTTCAATTCATTCCATCACCACATTAATGTCCCACCACACTAATCTACTGCATATTAACGTGCATCCAATCCCTCTATTCTATGGTGTTTAGAGGGCGTACATTAGAACGAACATAGATCACAAAACGTCTCGCGCGACTATCGAATTGGGCACGAAAGCATCATGGTTTGTTCGATGGATGCGATGATATTTTTGCGTGGCGTTTGCATACATGATTGACGGTGAACACGGTTCTTGCATGTGCCATGTGGGCATTTTAGCAAAGTCCATAAGGCAGAGTACTAATTCTCATTAGGGTTAGGACTGTTTCTAAAAAAAATTAATGATCGGCGTTTTGTACGTGTTGTGTGTGATGTAGTTGTTAGATGTAACCGGTAATAGTTATTGTAATCTCATGCATCCATCAGGTAGTTGTGGATCGTGCTGGGATCGCAGATGGATTTTGTGAGAAATTGGGTATAAGATTGATAGGTAAATATTTCTCCTCACCGATCCGAATTACTAAGACCAAACTATTTGTGACATGACATTAGAGTTTGGTTTGACATAGTGGTCATATGATGGAATATCAACATAAACGCATTATCAATCGTTGATTTAAGCACAATGTGTGATAAGTCCGTGCGAGCTTCAAGTTGAGGAGCAGAATTTCACTTGAGTGGGAGTAGCAGAGAGTGGTATGAGATCCACAATTAACTTTCTCCCAACAACTCGAGTTAATTTTGAGACCAAACGATTTGTTACATGATTTCTCCTTAGACGCGCCCCTAGTTGACAATGAAGTTGCTAGCTTGATTCGCCAATGGGGGGCGTGTTACGATCTGTTTCATTCATCTCATACTAGTCAAAGTCGTCATTTGGATTAAATTCGACAGATTTAAAGTTTGAACGCAATGTAATTCAACTTTTCTTTATAATTAGTCGCAAAATTGTCCGAATTGAATTTCACAATGAAACGAATAGAGTTCAAATACACTTTTTGTTTGGGTTCTTCTCACTACTTTTGGACCAATTCATACTCTCAAAACTTCCAAGTCCTTGGGTCATATATACACGTCCACACCCAGACTTCGTGGTCATGGCCGTGAACATCTAACTGAGAGTTCAAATCTTAGGGTTTCTTCTGAACATTTGTGGGGGAAAAAAGTGTTTGAGCCTAGATACCACCGAACGCTTATCCTTCACCTTTCCACTTTTCCGTCACCCGGGCGCCTGGAACCTGCACCCACAAGCGCCTAAGGGCCTTGGTCGAACCGTTAGCACTCCGAAGCTCAAGTCAGTGCCCCTTTTTAGAGAGATAAGTGCGGGAGAGTATTTTCGTCCGAGAAGCCAACCTGCGTAAATGCGATCGTCTGCCCCTATTTATACTCACCGAACCCGAGGTTGATCTCCGCCACGTCACTTCCCTCATTCAATGCTCTGCGCCCTCAGACAGCTAACCGCCCTGTCAGGCTCCTGACACCCGACTGGCATTCCACAGCTCTGCCAGGCTCCTGACACACGACAGGCGCCCGCAGGCCGTGGTCCACCATCCAGCTGGTCGCCACCTGGCTTTTGGTGCTCTGTGTGACAGCTAACCGCCCTGTCAGACTCCTGACACCTGACAGGCGCCCCAGGCCGTGGTCCACCAGCCGGTTGGCCGCCACCTGGCTCTTGGTATTTTACTCTTTTGGGCTTTGTCCCCTAGCTCGCTGGGTAATACCCCCAACAAAAAGATATATAGATTATCAATGCTCCCTCTGTCTTAATGCATCATCACTTTCGGTCTCACTTAGGGCCTTAGGGGTTGTTTGGCAATCAACTAGCTTATGGGTCGATCTAATGATTATCAGAATTGTATATGATGTTTTGCATTTTCTTGTTTTTCCTATTTCATTTGAAATTGATACCATAAGTATCTGTACACCAAGTAATTTGCAAATTATACTCTTCATGCTATTTTCGGTATTTTGAGTAAATCAAAAGCATTTGAGATTTCACGTTAATTTATACGAGTTCCACCATATTTGTTTTACTTTAGTCCTACCATAAATTCACGCAATCCAAATAATGTAATTTAATGTTGCATGATATCTCACAATCCAGGCAAATTGTATGAACTCTTCCAATATATGACTTCTATGACACCTAGGGCTCGTCTGTTAAAATTTTATGAGTCATTTTGTACCAGGTGACTTGTTTGTCAAGGAAAAAAGAACGAGTCATTTGATTCTAACGAAAAAAATCAAATGACTCATATTTTTTCTTTCTGCTTTTTCAGTTAAAACTCTAACCTTTCGTTTCATAAATTCAATATTTTCCATTGTAATAGACTTTACTATTTCATACCGGTTTCAAATATAGGTTATGCTTGGTTGCAAAAATATTTAGTTTGGAGCCATTACAATTTGTGAAGAAATTGGTGTTGTTTTTCGTGGTTGGTTGTACTAGAATAGAAAACAAGATAATGAAACTTAATTACAAGATGATAACACTGTACAAATAACTCATCTAACAATTATAAACAAATCACACACTAAAAAAATGTCTATATCATCATATATCCATATAATCTTTCAAATATCTACATCATTAGAAACGGCTCATTTTGTAAATACACCAAACAAACGAACCGAACCGAACAGACATTCATAATTGAGGTGTGAAAAATGAAAATATCATGGACCACACATTTTTCCCCCAACAGCTAAATGATGAGATCTATCCTCTTTTGTATGAGAGAGTCATATAATTGATCAGGAAAATCAAACCTAACCACACAATGCAACCTTCAAAGATAATCATCCATCATAGATTAGATTGGACAGACAGCTCTTCATCTTGCTTACCTTTCACTAGGATCCGTATCTTTGCTTTATCCGTTTCCCAAATTCATTTTCAAGAGATTTGTTTTTTCTCTCTCTAAGTTAGGAGGAAAAAATAGTTGATATATATTTTTGCCTACTACTTCCTTCCATGGCTGCAAAGTTTTTATTTTTTTGACCCCGTTCTCGAAAACAAGTGGAAGGTGCATGAGGTGAATATTTTGGGAGGGGTGAAAATCATACGAAAAGTCATTGTTTCGTATAGAAAAGTCAAAGAATGAAAAGAAGAGGTAATATATTTTTTTTATCTTGTTTTCAATATAAAATATTGAATAATGTTCGTCAATATGAATCATGACAATTCATTAAAAAAATCTATTATTATATGAGTCAAATAAGATAATTTAACTCGAGACACCAGTGAAACAAGTTTAATTAATATATTGTTGATGAATAGAAATTCAAAATGATTTGAATCATAATAACTTTTTCAATAGTACAAGAATGATACCATTTATGCGAGAGATGTTGATTTTTTTTTATAACCCAAAAACATGCCCACACACATCGCTTGAGCGATGACGGAGTGAGACCAAACCTGAGCGTTCACCTGCTTGAGCTCTTTGAGACTTCCACTAAGATTTCTATTAGCAGCGTCGTCGAGAATATCACGAAAGAGCCTCGAGAGAAATCGAACTCAGAAACTCACACGTCCCGAATGAGCTCTCAACGAGAATCGCCAATCGGGCTTGTGACCTTTGACCGAGAGATGTTGAGTTTGAACCTCAAACTTGCTTATTTAATAAATAAATAAATAAAAACAAATCATGTAAAAGAAAAACAAGAAAACCCCACTTTTTAATAATAATAAAAACCACTTTCGTTTTATTATTAGGCCTCTTGTTTGTCCTTTTATGTCTGTCTAATCTAGTACAATATAATCGACTTAACTTTCCTCTTATCATAGTATATCATTTCCCCAATATTTTAATGTGTAAAATCCGGTGACAAAATCTTCGGAACTCATTATTCTATTGTTTCAGATAGGATCAGGGGAACGATATTATTAGTGACGAGACGGTGGAGAATTAAGAAGGGGGGCATTAACAAGGCGTTCGTCGACTTTGTATATTTGTGGGGTAACACGGCTAAAAGGGTTGGGTTTTGCTTCGCACTTAGCACTTTGCAGGCCGAAAATATGCATAGTTGGGGTTTTTTTAATACTCAAGATTTGTGAGATAATCATCGTTACTGCAACCATGATTACACCACAATTTCACTTGCATATCAATTCGATTCGAGATTTCTAAAAGTTCAATGTTTCAATTTTCGTAAGGTTCTGGATTGAGTTTCTCTTCGCGTGAAATGCTTGTAGCATGTATGATTGTGTAGTCTGATCTATAGAAGAAAAAAATACGATCTCATTTTAAAAGAAAAATTGTTTGGTCCCGATAACTTGATACGTGACAGTCAGTCTGACAGAGGTCAGATTAGACATCTTCTTATAACATTATTTTACACACCCATTCAAAAAAAAAAAAAAAAAAACTACCCATGCATTTGAAGGTTGGGCAAGTTTGTCGAGAACCGATTGATTTCAATAATTCGAGTTGTTGGAAGATGTTTTACAATAGATCTTATAGTGCATAATAATACGCCGCCTCAAACAAACGTCACGCATAAGGGCTTGAAGTTTGCACAAGTCGGGAATACCATGTGCTTAACAAATGAGGTCGCCAGGATTGAACGGAAGACCGCTCAGCCAAAGAAGGCTATGATACTATGTCAAGAACCAATTGATCCCAATAACTTGAGTAGTTAGGAGATGTTCAATAATAAATCGTATAGCACATACTAACAAAGTTGTCTTATAAAAAAAGTTTGCACAACTCATTCATATGCTTAAATAAACTATAAATATTATGAGAGTGAGGATTGAATTATGAGATTTTTCAATCTAATCCTCTAAATGATGTCTTTATTCCTATGTCTTCCATCCACTTTATCGTCGACTTTGATTTCACGTTTTTGTAATATATATATACGAATCATTATGGATTATAGTTGGAACCCCCGTTTTCGGATCCATCTCACATCAATCATTCGACCCATACCACCTATAGGTAGTTTTAGACAGGTTTTCTTTGAAGTAGATACCTGAATTCACAGGATATATAGCTCGTAATAATCTATCTTCCGGGGCATACGATGATTCTTTCGCGATTTGAGGCGTTAATTTATCTACTAAAATATCACCTATCTCGACCCAAGATCCTAACATAACAATTCCATTTTTGTCTAAATTTCGAAGTAAATAGACTTCTAAATGTGATATTTCATTAGTGATCTTTTAAGGTCCTTGACTTTGTGGTCTGAGTCTATATTTCATATTTTTGTATGTGAAAAAAATAAAAATATCTTCATATACGAGACGTTGGCTAATATTACCACCAATTGCATTTGATACGATGGGAGATAGGAAGAATTTGGCGGACATGAGAATTATCAATTATGTACTTTACATTGTAATCAAAGGAAAAGAAGAAAATACAAATCATTACCCGAGATAACTTGCTTTTGGCTTTATGGAGGTATAATTAAAGCATTTGGATTAGGAAATGTCAAATTGGTAGCCGCAACCATTACGGCTCTTAAATCTTAACTAAGATTTATATACGGCTCCGTAAATCGATTACCAAATCTAGGATTTTGATTTCTTCTATGTCGTAGCCCTGGATTTGATTCTCTATCTCCTTCTCGATCTTATCAATTAGGAATGAAAAGTTATTGGATGCCGCAATGTTTTGTTGTTTAATAATCCATTTGTTATTTTTGTAATTTCTTATGAAGCACGGGAACAAATGTTTCAAATTGGGTCCTAGCTTTTACCAGCCCAGTGAGATTATCAGCCAAATTTTGAAACAACGAGTACCAATAAAAAATCTTATTTCGAAACATGTTTTTTCAATTCACCAGCAGATGCATGGTCTGAATCATTATGAATGGAGCAGCCTGAATTGAGGGAGACCCACTCAAGAGGCTGCCGACTGTTAATCCAGTGGGCTTGGATATGAGGCCCATCCAATATTAAGGCCCAGACCCCCGACTCCTGCATTACATTTACACACAAGACACAACCAGGGCTGTTAACGAACCAAGCTATTTGTGAACGACTCGGTCTCGAATTCGATAAAAGCTCGTTCGATTCAATAAAAGCTCGATTCGTTTATTAACGAGCCGAGCTTGAACTCAACATTGTTCGCTCGTGAGGCTCGTGAACTAGCTCGATTAGGAGGCTTGTTTAGTTCAGCTCATGAGATGTCACAACATTGCAACTAGCGAACCAACTTGATTACGGCTTATGAGAAAATTGATCTATACCTTATGAGTTGGTTTGTTAATGATGCGTATATTTATTAAATTGTATATCACACCTCATGTGATGTTTTATAATTTGAGTATGTGAGCAAATATGTCTAGTGTATGACATGAAAATCAGTTAATCACATATATCATATTTAACATATAAATATTAGGATATTCAATTCATAAATTATCTTAGAGTTGAGCTTGAGCCAAAATTTTTTGATCTTAATGATGAGCCAAAATTCAATAAATGAGTTGGCTCGTGTTCGACTCGACTCAGCACGTTCATAAACGAGTCAAGCTCGAGTTCGGCTCGTTTATAAATGAACCAAACCTGAACAAGGCAAAACTCGGTTCGACTCGGCTCATTAAAAGCCCTACACACAACCATTGTATCTATCTTCCTTCCACCAAGCAGCAACCGACCCATCGATTTGTGACCGTGCGAGCTCAATGGCCATTCCTAAACCTGGATGCATCCAATCTTTGCTCCCAACTTCCACGCAGGATAAATTATGAGAGTTACTAATTAACGCCCTAACTTTTTTAAATTTGTCGCCTTAACTTAAGTAATTTGACGTTTTCCCCCAAATATTCTCAATCTCTAACCAAATTTAGCCCTATGATTTTTTTCCCGTCCCCACCGTTCGCCCTGAGACTGGTCGCCCGTCGTTGCCGCTCGCCCTGGGAGTCGCCGCCGTTCATCCTGGGAGTCGCCGCCCGTGGCCACCGCAACTGCCTTCTCCTCCTGTCCTCTACTCTCTTTCCATCCTCGGGATCATCCCTGCAGATGTTATCTCCTTGGAGCAATACCCTGACCGATGAAGTTGTCTGACGATGATCGAACTTGGGGTTGCCGTGTTCTAATCTTGAATCCAGTAATCACACCAACACCATTGCTAAAGCTGACCGAGTTCTTCAATGGTTAGAAAATTCCAAAAGACGTGCGTGTTGTAGAGTCAGCACCATGAGCAGCAAGCCAACAACTTGCCTCATAAAACAATCTCCGAGGTCAACAACGTTTCCGTTTCCAACTTCCCTATCAAAGAATGGTGTTTGCGTGCCAAAATACCGAATAGACAAATTCATCTGCAAAATTAAACCACAATCACATAGACATTTAACCATATAGGCGGCGGCAGTGGGCAGGGCAGTGGCCGGCCGGGGATGGGCGGAGCAGAGGAAGGGCTAGGCGATGGGCGGAAGAGAGTATAATTAGGAATTTGGGGCAGCTCCTGTAGTTTTAGTGATTGAGGGTAGTAACGTCGTTTTAATAAGATTAGGGCGTTAAATAGGAATTCAGTAAATTAATCACCTCACCTGGGACCCCATTTGATAACGGCATCCACCGGTTCGTTCGCCGCTAGCATACGTTCGTCAACACCCGATTCGCGCCCAGCCCGATCCCTCCGAGACTCCAACCTCCGAGACTCCTCTTCCAGACGTTGCTAAGCCGCCCTTTTCGTGCTATTTCGGTCACCTTCTTCGTTCTTCCGACCGCTTCCCACGGCTATTCCAACGAGATCCTTTAATCGTCGTCTCCATTTAGGCATTTACTCCTCCGCTGGCTTTACCGATTCCGATTTCTTTCTCCCCGCGTCCTGTTGGTGATTAGCATGTTGTTGAGCTCTGTCGACGAGCCATGGCATTCTCTGCTTCACTCGGGCTCAGCTTTCCTCTAGTCACTTCTCACCCTTGCTCCCTGGTAAGTCCGCTGTTTGGTTCCCGAGAAAACTTCCGCGATTGGAAAGTGCGATTCGCTCGCTGTTTCGATTTTAGGTTTAACGGAGAAGCATTTCCGATGACGAAATTGCTGTTTCCTTTCTTTTCTTTCTGTTTTTCAGTTGCTCTCAGGGCAATCCAGCTTGAAGCAGAATAGAGCACGAGGTATTCCGGCTGTGAGGACGAATTCTTGTTTTGTGAAGGCGGCCTTGGATAGCAAGAAGCCGAGCGTCGTCAATGGCTGGAGCGCGGCGGAGTCTGCTAGGAATGTTCTGGAGAGACTGTTCGCTCAGTCGCGGCGGAGGCTTGAAGAACAGTCGAGCAGAGATTCCGATTCCGATTTCTCCTCCAACGGTGCGAATCCGGAGATCTTGGAAGCTGATATCGCCGCCGTGCTGGAAGCTCTGACGAAGAAGGAAGATGACCTTCACTACGCGGAAAGAAAGGTGGAGGTGGAATATGGCGAGCTTGAGCGAGCTAGGAAGGAGTTATCGCGACGGGAAGCGGAAATCGCTGCAGTTTCTGGTAAGTGCGAGATGCTTGAAGCAGAGTTGAAGCAATCGAATCTTGATTTGGCCTCTCAAACTAAGCAGATTGAAGATTTGAGGTTGGAACTCCGTGAGAGAGACCGCCAGGTCTCTGCAGCGCGCTCTGCTCTGTCGTTGAAAGAGGACGAGATGGTGAAGATGGAGAAAAAATTGTCGTACAAGAGTCGGAAGTTTGCAAACCTGGACATGGAGTTCCAAACCAAGGGCGACCTGCTTAACATAGCGAATCAAATGATCAATAATCAGGAAACTGAGATTGAAGAACTCAGGAATGCGATTCGGGAGAAAGAGAAAGAGCTGGAAACTTCGGAATCTCTGAGGAAACTCGATCAGGAGAAGCTGAACGCTGCAGAGGAAAATCTGAAGAAGCAGACGATGGAATGGTTGTTGGCAGAGCAGGACTTGAAGAAAATGGCCGCTGAAGAATCAAATGAGCTGGTGGAAAACAACGAAACCCTAGAGCATTACAGAAGGGTCAAGCAGCTTCTTGTTGATGTGAGATCTGAGCTCATCTCTTCACAGAAGTCACTAGCATTCTCCAAAAAGCAAATGGAGGAACGGGAATTGATTCTGAAAAGTCAGCTAGCAGAGCTCGAGGAAGATAGATCGGGTCTGGCATCACGTATTACCAGCTTGAGGGATGCCAAAAGAGAAGTGGAGAAGGAGAAGGCACAGCTCGATGTTTTTGAGGCAAGGAACAAGGAGTTCAAACGAGACTTTGCATTAGAGAAGGAGATCGTTGAAGAGTTGAGGGTATCACTGAGGAATGAGAAGTCCAGTCTGGAGCAAGCAACCCGGGAGATGTCAATGGTGAGACTGGAACTGGAGAAGCAGAACACAGATTTTAGAAACTTGCAGGGTGTGCTTCCAGTTAAGGAGTCAGAACTTGCAGAGGCTAAGGTGGAAATCCAGCGTTTGGGATCTGAGAGAGAATCTCTTCTGGTTGCTGTTGAGGAGAAAGATTCACGGCTGGAAACTGCAAAGGAGAAACTGAATGAAGTGAACCACCAGGTTGCAGAGCTAAGGAAGGTGTTAAACAGTAAAGAAACCCAGCTTCATCAAGCAACTGCCAAGCTGAATGAAAAAGAAGAACGCGTGCAGAATATGCAGAATCAGCTGAACGATACCAGGTTGAAAGTAGCCGAAGCAGGATCTGTCGTGGAAGGGATGGTGGATCTCACGAATAAACTCGTGCTCTCAGATAGACAGACTATTGATTTCACGATACCAGACAGACAGCTTGAGATCGAACTCGACTTGGTTAGAGAGAGCTTGATGAATAAGGAAATGGAGCTGAAGAAGAGGGATGAGGAACTGAGAAGGCTGAAGGAAGAGATGGTTGTAGATGGTTATGATCTGAAGAAGCTCTATGCATTGGCACTAGAGAGGTTAGGCGAGAAGACCGTGGGCGAGCTAGGAATCGAGAAGCTGCAACTGGAAGCCATGCAGCTAGAAGTGGAAGTTGCAAAGGCAGAATTGCAGAAGCTCACGGAGATGAGCAGACGACTTAACGAGCAAGCCGGGGAGAGTCTCGAAGCTGATACTGATACTGTCCTGAAGGAGATGACTCGTTTCTCGGATCTGACGGATCAGCTGGTGAAAGAGGCTGGCCTTGGTGATAGTAGACGACTTGCTGAGAAAGTCG